GTGGTGGTGGGCACCTGTAATCCCAGCTACTCTGGAGGCTGAGGTGGGAGAATTACTTGAACTCCGGAGCCGGACACTGCAGTGAACTGAGATCATGCCACTGCACTCTAGCCAGGGCAACAGAGACCCTGTCTCCAAAAAAAAAAAAAAAAAAAAAATCCACAAAGGAAGCAAACTGTGAGAACAGAGTTTGAGGCATATGTGCCTCGGGTTCCCTTCAAACATCCCCACAGACAAGGGACACCAAGCACGTCATCCTGCTGAGAGAAAGAGTTGGCGATTTTAAAACAAAAAGGTACAGAAAAAAAACGTTTACACGGAAACTGCATAAAAGCAGCGTGAATCACCGAGGGCAGCTGTGCCCAGGCGCTGAGACAGTGGCTGCCCAGCATCCCTCACCCATCCCTCTTTGTCTGGACAGCTCTTTCCTGCTTAGGGATGTGGCAGGAAACCTTGGCCTGACCCATCTGCCAGGCGCGTGGCACGCCCAGGTCCAGGACTGCCACGGAAGTCTCTGCCTTCTCCACCAGACTGCTCCGAAGGCTGGATGGAAGCCCGGGCCGATGGAGGTGGGACACTCACCTGTAACGCACACATGCACCTGCCTGGCTCACCTGCCTGTCACTCACACATGTACCTGCCTAGAGCGGAGCTGCTAAGGAGGTCAGCGGTGCCAGGCCGAGTAGATGACGGGCTGCGAGTTCCGGGCACCCAGACCCAACCACGCCCTGGGCTCAGGTGCTGGACTTTTGGATTAAGCGAGATACTCACTTCTTCGGAAGCCAGATTACACCGTCTGTTTCCCCTGGGGCAGGACGCGGGGCCGCCGACTTGCCCCAGCCAAGCCTGCTGTACGCTCCTCGCTGCCCTCCCACCGGGCTGAGGCCCGACCTTTCAGCCGCTTCCTATCTGGGTCTGGCAAGAGGGTGGCAACCGGACTTGAGTTAAACACACACGCACTAAGTGGCAGGCGTTGAAAAGGAGGCCAGGGGCTGACACCTGGCCAGGGGCTGAGAGGTGCAGGGAATTGGCAGGTGTGGACGGCGAGGCCCGGCGCAGCTCAGGGACTTGTTCCGGGCTCGTGTCTTACTCCCGCCGGCCGGCGGTGGAGCCAGACTCCGGTCTCCCACTGTCACCGCCCGGGCTTCCCGGAAACGCTGGCCCCGAGCACCGTCCCGGGCACGCTCGTTTCTCTCGTGCCTCTCGGGGCAGCGTGGGGTCTAACAGTTCAGGGCGAGGCGGCGGCGGGCTCAACGGCAGCCCTCCCCCGACACAGACTCCCGGGATCCACTGACAAACCAGGATC